GGAAGACATGCTTCAGGTCACACTCATCCTGGTTACTCTCGAACCAGTTATCCTAGCTACCACCAGGAATATCACCAAGGATATTTTACCCAACTCTCGGATAGTCGACGTCCTTCTGTGTCACGCCCCGTTGAATCTCCACCATTTCATTCAAGAACAGATGATGTAGAATCACCCGAATCAAACTACTCTCAGTCCTCGCATTACACAGAATACTCAGAAATACTTGATACTTTTGTTAATCCTTCAAACATTACTATTTGATTAAACATTACTAATTGATTTTCATACTTTTATTATTTACAAATCCCCATCATGAGCTTAATGAACCGTCAATGGGGACTAGTAGAAGAATAGTTCACAAATGCCCATTGATGGGGATTGTCAAATGGAATTAGTGGAATAAGCCCCCAAGTAATGAAACATTTTCTGTCTCAAGGCTGCTACACACAATGCGGCTTGCCCGGCGGCAGTGCTGTTGACACCGTATGTAGCAACCTTTACATTGAGAGTGAAGTGTAAATAGATGATTTAATACATGCGAGGTACTTACCTTAAAGTAAAGACGAGTTTTTCTTCAGGTGAGATGCAGGGCCGAAAGTTATTTTAGTGCCAGTAATAGAGTGACTTATTTTTTGAAAAAGTTCATCAAACGAGGACTTGCTCATTCTTAAATAATTGAAAAACTTGTCATTATGTTGTTTAAGGTCAGTAAAGTATGTCTGAAATAATCCCTTATAATGTCTTTCACACAGTAATGGATGAATCCAGAATCGTTTCTTCTTATTTTTTCGCTTCTTACTTGCAAGATAAACCATCACAGCTATTTCCTCGACGTCCATTTCGAAGCAATCCGTACTCGGAACTTACAATTTTGGCCGCAGTTCTGGCTGCATGTTTGGTTGTGACACTTGCGGCCTGGTCGCAATGCTGGCCGCTGCGTCCTGCGTTCACTCGTCGTTACGGTTGGTTACTTCGTTACGTTAGTAAACGGGGCTCTACACTCTATTGTGCACTTCACAATGCTGTGTTTGTCCCTATCTTAATGTATGGTAGTGAAATGAATGATTGGTGAATGTATGGTTGTGCAATTCACAATGCTGTGTTAGTCCCTATCTTAATGTATGATAGTGAAGTCGGTTTGGATGAAAAAGCACGATAGTAGAATAAATGCTGTAGATATGCGGTCATTAAGAAGTATGTTAGTGCCCGATTAACCTGAATGACAGGATGAGAAATTGTGTGATAAGAGAAAAGTGTGGTTTGCAAGATGTTGTGACCAGAATTAAAAAAGGAATGCTTTGGTAGTTAGGTCATGTAGAAATAATGAGCAAGGAAAGAGTAACAAAGTGTTGCAGAAGTGGATGGTAGAGTCGGGAAGGGACGCTTTAGGCAAAAGTTTATTGATCAAATTGGCGACATATTGAAGATGGGCCAGATTAATAGTACGCTTAGTCGACGAGCATGTAAGCATGTACGCGTAGGTATATGGATGTATGTAAAAGAGGCGAGAGCAGTGTGTCTGGATCGTACCAAATGGAAGTCCGTAGCCTCTGTCTAACCCTTTGGGTGACATGTGTGTGTTTATATACTATGATTCTATAGAGGGTGATCTCGTTAGGATAGCAAAGGCGAAAGTAGCGGCATCGGGTCTGAAAAAAAGGTGCTGTTGGAAGTTTGCTTATGTGTCAGGGCCCATATAGGATTTAAAAAAGTGTCCTCCCAAATTACTGGTTCCTTGTAAAAGACACTCCTTTGACGAGAAAAGAAGCAAGGTATGAAACAATTGTTACCATGATAAAAGAAATGACAAATATTCCGATGGTTGAATTTTAAAATCTCTGCTCGCTCTTCCAGTGAAGACAGTGATAGTAAAAATGATAATATTTGTAATAAAGACTAATTGAAACTAAGTACTACGGATATGATTTGATTATTAATACAAAAAAAATTTTACGTGATAGAGCCATGCTGCAGCTATACGTTGTAGCACGAATGGGTCGGCTCGACCGGGGAAGGACCACGCTCTCACATAATACCAGCGTAAAATAGCAACTTAATGCTGCTGTGTTTCGTATGGTAAGTGTAGAGAACCGGAGACCCTTTTTACTGGAAAAGAGGCATTACATCTTAGTCCTCACGAGTGACAACGCATCTGCATTCTTTATTGAGGATAAAATGTCTATGGGCCACAGCAACCACTTACCATCAGGTGGACTGTGTGCTCATTTGTTACTCGATCCTATAGCAAAAAAAAAAACAAAATGTCTAATAAAGTTATATATTCGTATCATAACTGAATCGTATAAAATTTGCTGATTCTGAAAAATTAGGACACTAAATATATTTTAGTTTAGCCTAACATATAAGGCATAATAAAAATAAAATAATTTTTATTTGTAAATTGTAATTTGTTGTCTTTGATCATTGACTGTGAGTTGAAGTGTTAAGAACAATAAATGGCGTGTTCGTGGAGTGCCATCTTTTGACACTTGATAGAAAATGTTATGATTGAGTTATAAACATGCAATTTTTACTATAGCTAATTCGATGAAGAATAACATAAAGTAATAAATAAAAAAGTACGTAATAGGGGCGTCTTATTAAGAAATTTTACGATTATTGTAAAAATTAATGAAAAAAACCAGAGTTTTGTTAAAAAAAAACGTGTTTATTTTCAATTGCGGGTAGTTTGTTTCATCACGATATATCATTTAGTTTAAAAGTAACACCGTTTTGTTTACAATGGGGTCACAGTAGCGAACAAAATTTTTAAAAATTCTATAAAAAATATTTAAAAAAATATTTAGATTTTTTTCAATACTTTTTCCGTCGATAAAATTAAGCATAGATTCCCTCATTTCGATATGTGCATTTTATAAAGACTAACACTGTATATTATTTTAAATTAGGTTGTTTAGTGCGATTGCCAAGTCAATTTATTTATTTAAAACATAAAAGATTTTAGTATTGATGTGGTTACTATAAGATGTTTTTAAGTTAGCTAATTACGTAATAACTTGAGACAGAATGACCCTTAAGTAGGTACTGAATAAATTAACCGACATGGTAACATGGATCTCGCAACTTTTTACGGTAGAAAAACAGAGTTGCGAGACTTGGTTTTTTTTACAAGATATGTTTTGATGGCATATTATTTTATCCAAACACAACCAGATCAAAACATTAACTTGTTATTTTGTTTATTAGTCTTTAAAATCATAAGTGGGTATGTTATTACCCAGTAATTTTGGGTTTAATGTTATTTATGGTGTATACTTACTAATCAATCAAAAATATTAAAACAAAGACTTGACACCGCGCCTGTCTGTCTATCTATTGTACTATTAAGAAACTACTTTGGAAATGATGACTTACAATCTACACCATGTTTGTATGTCTGTGCACTATATTTCGCCGGAATAACTAAAAGGATTTTCCATCAATTTTAAACTACACCTATAAATGTTGAATGTACCTACAACTTTGTTTTATGCTATTAATTATTGAACAGTGCACTATTTTAACTTATAATACCGGTGAAAACTATCAGACAATCGATTTTAGTTTCGTTTTTAGGTTATTGTTATTTTTATATTTGAATTGTTAATTTCTCAATATTCCCGTTAGATGCGGCAAAACTAATATGACTTTTTTTATTTAAATATAAACTATAAGGAATAAATCGACATGCAATTCATTAAGTTAAACCACAATTTGTGGTGGGCCTACTCTCCATACAAAAAGTAATTGTCTCCTTTGTCTGAAAATAGAACCTTTCAGAATACAGAAGAAAATTCAGAAGCTTGGCTGCTATGTTCACACTAATACAATTTCGTGAATCAGGCAAAAATAAAATGGGACGGCGATTTACAGCGCCCGAAAAAATCATGCCATTGACCTTATACAAACGAAAACATAGAGCTTACAGGTGGCTTCAAAACATTTTTGTCTTGCCTTTGAAAAAAGGGCTCAATGAAAATCTCTTCGAACAACTGAAAAAGAAAGTAAAAAAATGAAATATCATGAAAAGTTATGCATGTCACTTTTTGATGAGATGCCCGTTGCCTCACACTTCGATTACAATCTAAGAATATATGAAATTTCAGGCTTTGCACATAATGAAAAATCAATGCAAATAAAATTAGCTGACCATGCTCTGGTTTTTATGACACGAGGTATTCAAAAAAACTATAAGCAACCAGTATATATAAATTCAGCTAAGGCAGTACAAGCGCAAGAGATCTTGCCACATTAATAAAAGAGGAGATAAGAAAGTTGCATGGTGTTGGACTACGTGACTTAAGGGTCCGCGAGACGATCAAGTGCACTTGACAAGTCTACCTACGTGCTTGAAGTGAATACTCGTATTGATCGTTTACAGCGTTGGCTTGACAAGTCCCGTCAAGTATCTACGGGCTGGACCATACTTGACAAAAATTTTGATTGACGGCACTTGAACCACCTTGCGCTTGATGCGACTTGACGCGACTTGACAAGTTTTATTTATTTGCGGCCGGAACATCGAAGATGGCGGACGACGAACCGGACCGAGACGTGGCTTTGGCAGCAAGCGCCGACTTAATTACCGAGCGTGATTTTGTGTTATTATTAATATCTCTCTAAAGAGATTATCCTGCATTGTGGAAAATTAAAAGTAAGGAGTATGCGGATAAAAACAAAAGGTCGCTTGCTTTATCAAGCATAGTCAAATCACTTCGAGTATATAAACCTGCCTACACCGAAGATTTATTTAAGAAAAAAATTAATGCATTAAGAACCAACTTCAACAAAGAAAGAAAAAAGATTGAACAACCACAACGGTCTGGCGCGTCTCCCGATGATGTACCAAAACCGTCACTCTACTATTACAATGAACTGTTATTTCTGTCAGACCAAATGTGTATAAGTGATACTGAAAGCAGTTTAAGCAGTCAGGTAAAATATTTTTTATTTACAATTCATAGATACATTTTACTTTTAAGTATGTTTTTAAATAACTAAATTAGGCAATTATTTTGCCAAGGGACTGAACCGTTACCATTAAAGTACTCGCAAAAGTCATCTCTCACTCTTTTTGCCTCATTTGCCAAGTTTCCTCGTACTCGCTCTATATTTAACAATTGGTGTCCTTGTCTCCACGCACCTCTTGTGACTGTGGTATTTGGTTCTTCTATGTCAATATCTCCTGGTTTAATATATTTGTTTTTATTTTTTTCACACAAATAGTTGTGTAAGCGACAGGCAGCCAAAACAACTTTTCGCGTTTTATCAGGATGCAGTCCAATGTCTTTTTTAAATATTTTGAATCGCGAAGACAGGATGCCAAAAGCATTTTCAACCACCCTCCTGGCTCTTGACAATCTATAGTTGAAAATCCGTCTTTCGTCTGTCAAGACGGCTTTGTTGTATGGCTTCATGAAGTTTGGAGTCAGTTGGAAAGCTTCGTCACCTACCAGTACAAACGGAAACTTTTTATCGCTTTCTAGTAACTCACATGGCTCCGGAATATTAAGTTTGTTTTCACTTTCAGAAAACAATTGCCAAAAATTTGTATTTTTCAAAGTTCCACCATCTGACATCCGCCCATTTGCACCAACATCAACCATCATAAATTGATAATTGGCGTTTACAATAGCCATAAGTACAATACTAAATATCTTTTTATAGTTAAAATAGTAAGATCCAGAATTTGAAGGTTTTTCTATTTCGACGTGCTTGCCATCAACAGTACCTATACAGTTGGGAAAGTTCCATCGTCTCTCGAACTCTTTGGCTACTTTTTTCCAGTCCTCGGTCGTTCTCGGTACCTGTGAATCCAATTATCAAAAAGAGATGCCACAACCAAAGAAAAGCAAAAACACATCACAGCAGGACCTGATAGATTTAGCATCGCATTATTTCAAAAAACCTGATGATTCTGAATCGGATATAATTGCGAAGGGCTGGGCTCTTAAACTCAAACGTTTATCAGCAGATCAAAGACGCTATGCGGAGAAAATAATAAATGACATTTTATTCGAAGCCGAAATGGGATCACTGTCAAGAAACGGAGTTCAGATCTTGCCTGCTAGCTCATACACATACACATACACATATTCATACCAGTCACCCGCATCACATCAGTCACCATCACCTGTGCCATCACCAAATGCACTCCACTCAAACTTGACATACCAGTCACCATCACCAAGTGGGCACCACTCAACTTTGACATACCAGTCACCCGCACCACATCAGTCACCATCACCTGTGCCATCACCAAATGCACTCCACTCAACTACGACATACCAGTCACCCGCACCACATCAGTCACCATCACCTGTGCCATCACCAAATGCACTCCACTCAACTACGACATACCAGTCACCCGCACCACATCAGTCACCATCACCTGTGCCAATCACCAAATGCACTCCACTCAACTACGACATACCAGTCACCCGCACCACATCAGTAACGATCACCTGTGCCATCACCAAATACACTCCTCTCAACTACGACATACCAGTCACCCGCACCACATCAGTCACCATCACCTGTGCCATCACCAAATGCACTCCACTCAACTACGACATACCAGTCACCCGCACCACATCAGTCACCATCACCTGTGCCATCACCAAATGCACTCCACTCAACTACGACATACCAGTCACCCGCACCACATCAGTCACCATCACCTGTGCCAATCACCAAATGCACTCCACTCAACTACGACATACCAGTCACCCGCACCACATCAGTAACGATCACCTGTGCCATCACCAAATACACTCCTCTCAACTACGACATACCAGTCACCCGCACCACATCAGTCACCATCACCTGTGCCATCACCAAATGCACTCCACTCAACTACGACATACCAATCACCCGCACCGCATCAGTCACACTCACAAGTCATAGGCAAGACAACGGTGCATGGTACTGCCAAATCACTCATAATTGTGCCATCTCAACCTATGCAGGCGCCAAGTGTATCTCATGAACAGCCCGTAATTCATATACCAGAACCAACTACTGAAGAAGAAGAATCACAGACTGCGGCTAAGTTCTTACAATACTTCTATTCTTTTTAGTAACTTCTATAGACCAAACTGAGAACTTTTTGGGTATGAATCGGTTGCACAACCGAGCCATACAAGATAAAGTAAAAGAAACCAATAAAAAGTTTTCTGTTTTGTCTGTCTCATATGTCACCATCACATTAAGTATTTAATTTTTGTTATGATTATTTTGGTTAAGATAAATGAAAATAAATGAATATCATACATACCCGAATATTTTCTTTTAACTTTCGAATTATAGCCTCACACGTCTCCTGTATTATTAAATCCAAATGACGAGGAGCGACAACACACATAAACTTTAAATCTTCCAAGTCCATACCAGTGACCAAATACCTTAGAGTTATAGAAAGCCTTTGGCTGGCAGGAATAGCTTGTCGCAAATTGGTATCTTGCTTTTCAATATTGGGTCGAATCAACTCCAACGTTTCAAAAGAATCGTTGTCCATTCGTAGAAAATTTTTATAATCGTCGGGCTCAGTTGCTTGAAGAGTTCTTTGCAAATGTTCATGCGTGAATCGATATCTCATTTTATACCATTCCTTACACCATCGCCTCCTTCTTTTCTCTTTTTCTGTGATAGATACCGCTAGAGCATTGCTTTTCAAACTGGGGGGCGCGCCCCGCTAGTGGGGCGTGACAACATGTAAAGGGGGGCGCAGAGCCGCGGGACAAACGCATACTACCACCCCCGCCAGTCGGTCAGTATTGTTCGCCTTGTAAACATTACACGTGTTTTTTTTTGTCGCAAAAATAAAGTTAAGTTTATACCTTTTGTTTCGTCATGAGTTCGGCCAAAAAACGTAAATATAATGATGATTATATTAAATACGGTTTTGTTGTTATAAAAAAAGGTGATATCGATCATCCGCAGTGTGTTATTTGTTATGAGGTATTGAGCAATGACGCCATGAGACCCTCTCGTCTGGAACGACATTTGTCTACAAAACATAGCAGTTTAAAGGACAAGCCGAAGGAGTTTTTCGCATCAAAATCTGCGAGCTTGAAACGTATAAAATTGGATAGTACTGGATCTTTTGCGAAATCGTCCGAGAAAGTGCTTCAAGCTTCTTATGAACTATCGCTTATCATCGGAAAGGCAAAGAAAAGTCATACTATCGGAGAATCACTTATTAAACCTTGCTTGTTAAAAACAGCTGATATCATTCTGGGACCAGAAATTAAACAAAAATTTTCGCAGATACCCCTCTCTGACAATACTGTCAAACGTCGCATTGATGATATGGCTGAAGATATAAAAAAACAAGTAGTAGAGGCCGTGACAGAATCAACATTTTATGCAATACAGTTGGATGAGAGTACCGATATAGCACAATGTTGTCAACTTTTAGTTTTCGTTCGATACATGCAAAACGAAACAATAAAAGACGAATTGTTGTTTTCTACAGAATTAACGACTACCACAAAAGCAATTGATATAATGACAGCAGTTTCTGATTTTTTTGCGAAACACGAACTGTCGTGGCAAAAGTTAATGGGTGTTTGCACAGATGGTGCACCGACAATGCTTGGGTCTCGCTCAGGTTTCATATACCGTCAAGCCCTGGCGGCCAAGACACTTTCAAATGAATTCAACGCTATTTTAACATTATGCATAAAAATTGTCAATTATGTTAAAAGAGTGCTTTGAATACTAGACTTTTTACGGCTCTTTGTGAAGATTTGGGTACAGAACATAAGACTCTGTTATTTCATACTGAGGTGCACTGGCTCTCAAAAGGAAATATGCTGACTAGGTTACATGAGCTTCGAGATGAAGTTATTCAGTTCTTGGATAATCAAAAACAAAGTGAATTATTTGTAGAATTCAGAAAGCCAAAAGTTCAAGTGGTATTTGCTTATTTAACGGATATGTTCGATTCATTAAACTCATTAAACTTAAAACTGCAAGGAGGAGATTCAAATATAATTAATCACAGAGATGCTATCACAGCATTTACTGAGAAGTTGCTATTGTGGAAACGTAAGATTTTAGCAGACAATTATTCGTGCTTTCCTAAATTATATGCAATCACAGAGGACAAATGTTTTATGGAGTTTTTTTGCGAAACCGACACTAAGACCGAAATATCCAACCACTTGCAGCACCTCAGTGATGAATTCAAGCGCTACTTCCCAAACTTGTGTGATGACAATATTTATCGATTGGCGACGGATCCTTTTCACGTTGACATAGACGTGCTGCCAGAGCTACTTCAAGAACAAGCTTTAGAAATAAAAAAATGATTCAGCTGCCAAATATGATTTTGAGAAGATGGATAAGCCATTATTTTGGGTAAAATATCTCAAAGTTTATCCCAATATAGCAGAAGAATCACTGAAACTGTTTTTACCATTTTCGAGTACTTATTTATGCGAAAAGCCATTTTCAGCAGTAGTGGTCATAAAAACCAAATACAGAAACAAACTCGATATCACTAGTGATCTACTTTGTGCTCTTTCTTCTATTCAACCCAGAATTGAAAACATTGTTAAAAATATGCAAGCCCATCCATCTCACTGACCGTGACGATTATGTATTTCTTTGTTTTTCTTGTCACAACAATATTAATAAAAATATTTGATTATGGTTTTTACCCCTGTTTATTATTCATTATCCTTTTACTTTAAAACTAGCCTTTTTTCGAGGCATTGCTCGCGTTAATATAGATTTTGTCAATCAATTTCTATCTTACGGGAACAATACTTTTTTATATAAAAGGTACCTTATGTCCTATCCTATACCCCAGAAATGGTGAGTAGTTAATGACAGTGTAAAAAACGACACAAACTCACTTTATTAGTTCGATTGGGATACTTAGCTAGCCCATTGATTTCCTCTTCCTTGCATCGAAGTGAAGGGGGCGTGGGCATTTCTATTTTAGGCAGCAGGGTGGCGTGTAGAAAAATACTTTGGGAACCCCTGCGCTAGAGTTATAACAAGGAATGCCTTGTCTGCGTTGGAAAACATTATTAATTTTTGCGACGACCGCTTTCCTGAGCACAGGGCGGCGAACGACTGCGGCATGTGGACTTGACGGCACCTTCAAGTCGCAAGTCCCTCGTCAAGTGAAATCGTCAAGCACGTAGACTTGTCAAGTGCACTTGATCATCTCGCGGACCCTTAAGCAACTGTGTGTGACCAAGGGACTAATAATGCCAGTGCCATATACTCCCTCAGTCAAGAAACTAAAGGAAGATATTTAAGAATCAATGAGGAACTACAAAGAGAGACACCTTTGAAGTTGAGAACAATGAAGTAAGGGATGATTCTCATTAGAGCGAGCTGTGCCCGGGGCGGGGCCCGGACGGGGCACGGTTTTAAGGTCGCTGCATACGTAACGTGTTTTATTCCGGACGGAGCGGGACGTGAAATTTTGGAAATATCGTTTCATAGAAAATGTACGTTATAATTCATACGTTACGGGTGCACGGACGTGACGGGGACGTGGCATGAACGGGACGAGAAAAATATCGTCGGCGACGATGTTTGCCCCGTCCCGCCCCGTGCGCGCCACGTCTCGTCCGTGGTTCCGCTGCTTATGCACAGTCTCCCCGTTGGCTACGCAGTGATGCGCGTGCCGTACCGAACAAAATGGACGACGAAAAATTAATTGAATGTGTACGATCATATCCATGCTTGTATAATTTTGCACACCCGAAATATTTGGACACAAAATATAAAAATTTTCTGTGGCGGAAAATTGCAGTCGAATTATCACTTACTGCAAATGGTTAGTATATATAAATTTTATTTTTTATTTATTGTTTTCATGGGTTTACAATATATCTTAATATGTAACAATAACAGTTGAAATTTTTTATGCGCAAATCAAAAGACAGGTACGTAAATAAAGTTGACTCATGTTTTACAATGTCGATATTTATTACATCAGTAGAATTAAATACAACAGAAATCAAGTAGGTACATAACCAATTTATTGACAGAGTATTTGGTTTGAGTTATATGTACTATGTACTAGAGAAGCCATTCCGAACATAGACTATGTTCAACTGAACTGTAGTGCAATCCATACAAACTAAATATTGCGTAAATTGAAGATTTGTGAATTCCATAAAATAATTATTATTACATTTTATTTTTAAATATAATATGTTTGTTTAGATTAAATTAAGATATTTTATATTAAATTCTTATATTTATTTTATATAAATATCTTATTTTATATCAAATTAAAGTCTTCGCCCATGCACGACTACTACTCCCGCGCATGTGCGAAGACATAGAGTAGGACAAAATTTTTGCTTGGAATGGCTTCTCTAGTACGTAGTACATATAACTCAATGGGTTAAAATGTGAAGGTAGTGTGTTTATGGGTAAGGGTGTTAGTATTCACTCATGCTAGAAATGCCGACAGGAGAATTGAAAAAAACTTTGAATTTTTCTCGTTCACGAAATGCTTGACTAGATGCACTGCCGCCTTGAGAACGTAAATTGTTAAGGCTCGAATCCTCTAAACTTTCTAAGTTAAATGAATTAACCTCATTTTCACTATTTTTTCTTATAAAGTTGTGTAATACACATTGAATAGGAATATGATCTCTTTTTAATAGTAAAATGCAGTAATTTGCTCAATCGACCTTTACTTGATCTCTAATTTTTACAAAGACGACAGGTACAACATTTTTTAAACATACCTACACAGCTTACGGACTAATATTGGCATGAGAACTGCTAATATAATTTGACAGGCGCTTCAACATGCCCCCCGGCGTTGAAAGTCTACCTTTCAACCAGATTCTTCAGGTTCAGGAAGCGGACAAATTTTGCTAAATGATCGGCGAACTATACCAGTCGATGTTTTGATATCCGCCACCCTTGATACGCCGTCCGAGCCTGGATGGACTGCGACGATGCGACCCATCTTCCACTTTAATGGCGGTGAATTCTCCTCTTTTAGGAGTACCAGTGAATTTAACTTCAAAGAGCCTTTACAGGAACGCCATTTCATCCGCAGTTGAAGCTCTGATATATATTCCTTGCTCCATCTAGCCCAAAAATGTTGACGTAATTGTTCTATTCGTTGAAATCGGGTTAAAGAGCTTACGGAATGATCTTTATAGTCTGGTGTCGGCAAGGAAGTCAAGGGGCGTCCAATCAAAAAATGACCGGGCGTTAGTGGTAGCAAGTCTTCAGGATTCGTTGACAAAGGTGTGAGTGGTCTGGAGTTAAGTATAGCCTCAATTTGTATTAATGTGGTATTTAGTTCCTCGTAAGTCACATTACAATTGCCCAGCACTCTAACTAAATGATATTTAATGCATTTGACACCAGCCTCCGCAAGCCCAGCAAAATGGGGAGAATAAGGCGGTATGAAATGGAAATTAATTCCTTCATTTGCCATTACCTCAGATAAAGAATTACAATACGTCCTAATAAATTTTGAAATGTCATTGTATGCGCCTACAAAGGAGGTACCATTATCCGAATAAATATTAAGAGGTTTCCCTCTTCTAGACATAAATCTGCGCAAAGCTAATATGAAGGTATTGCTAGTTAAATCACCCACTAATTCAAGATGAATTGACTTAGTCGCGAAGCAAATAAAAATAGCTATATACACCTTTACAATTTTACAACCACGGCCATGGCGAGAAACAGATTGAATTGGTCCCGCATAGTCTAGTCCAATATTTTGAAATGGAAAACCAGAAAGGATGCGTTGGTGTGGTAGGTTGCCCATTATTGGAGAGATGGTTTTTCCTTTCATTCTATTACATCTTACACATTGTCGATAACAAGATCTGGCCAAATTACGACCTCTAATCGGCCAGTACATCTCTCTTATAGTGGCCAACATTAGCTGTGGTCCCGCGTGCATTAACCTTATGTGCTCATAATTGAAGAGCAATTTGGTAAAATAATGAGTGGACTGTATAAGTATGGGATGTTTTTTCTCATAACAGTAATCGGAATTTTCAAGACGCCCTCCAACACGCATTATTTTATTATCATCGAGAAATACATTAAATTTATGTAACGGACTTTTAGTGGGTAAACTTTTATTTTTAATTAACATGGTGTATTCCTCAAATGATTCACTCTGGGATATTCTTATAATAACATTGAGTGCGGTTTGCAACTCTTGATTGCTTAGAGGACCGTGAACGGATTGCTTTCTACAATTATTAATAAAACGCAGCACATAAGCAACGGTCCGATTTAATCTAGTATATTTAGAAAAGCGTTTAAATTCAATTAATTTATTCCCACCTAAATCTTCATTGTTGCTAGAATGAAGTATTCCGTGGAGGATAACATTTGACGATTTAATCTCAGGCAACTCGTGATTAATACTTAAGAACTTTGCAGGCCAGTGAGAGACCTCTTTCTTTAAAAATTCAGGTCCTGACCACCACTTACTCATGGATGAAATATCCTTACAACTCACACCGCGAGAAATATGATCGGCCGGATTACACTCTGTTGGGACATGCCTCCACTCGCAATTTCCAGTCTTCTCTAATATTTCAGGAACCCTATTTCTGACAAAGGGTTGTAGCTTGCTAGGTAACACCTTTAACCATCCTAACACGATGGACGAATCTGTCCAAAAGAAAGTGCGCTTAGCCTGTTGTCTCAGCGATGCTACAACCTTTTGGTAAAGGCGAGCTCCAACAAGTGCACCA